GGTCTTTGACCAGTTGTGCACTCACCTGATTGTAATTTCATCTAGACCGCATTTCCTTTACTTATAAGAATGCCATGTGGGATTGTGTCAAAAGCCTTACTAAAAAACAAGACAGATCTCATCTCCTCCTTTCCATTAATCTACTAGGTCAGTAACCCAATCAAAGAAGTAAATGAGGTTTGTTTGGAATTATTTGTTCTTAATAAATTAATGGCAGCTGTTCCTTATAATGTTAGTCTCCTCTAGATGCTTACAAATTGTTTTTTTTTCCCCAGTATCTTTCCAAGTATCAGAGTTCAGCTGATTTGTCTATAATTCTCTAGGTTCTCTTTGAACCCTTTAAAAAAAAAAATGTCCTACGTTTGCCTTTCTTCAGCCCTTGAGGACCCTATCCAACTCCGTGAGTTCTCAAAGATAATTGTTAATGGTTCCAGGATTGCCTCAGTTTGTTCTTTAAGCATACCTGGAATGTGCCAGGTTGCAGCCCCTATTCCAGCTCCTCGGGAACCTCTTCTTGAGGTTCTGGCTGCATTTTTTCCCCTCACCTTTTTACATACGCACACTCCATCCATTGCCCCACAAAGTCACGAGACCTCCTCGTCAATCTTCTCCTGGCCTTGGCAAAAGCCGTTATATACAATACCAGGAGGAGGATGCTGGACAAGGGGGTGCTCTGCTAATGTGGGGCCTACTTCCATTCTTCCCTGGTCTCACACATCTGGGCAGAGTTCCTCTAGGCAGCATCCGCTGGCTCCCTGCACAGCTTCGAGGAACAGTGGGCACTGTCTGGGGTTCTCTGCTTGGGGTCTCCATCTGGTTCCCTCATTTTAAACCTTTGACCTGCACCCCTTGACCCTGTTTTTCATTTTTTGTCCCCTGGAATCAGTTGAGCCCCGGGTCCAGTCATCCCTCCCACAAGGCTGGGGGAAGGGCTTTTCGAAGTAGGCAGGCTGGCGCCCGTCCACCATCCGGGATTCAAATAGGTCTTTAAGCACAATAGGATGAATTTAATCAGGCCCTGCAAACTTGAATACACCTAATTTATCTAAATACTCTTTAGCCTCTACTTTCCCCATATTGGCTTGCATTCCTTCCCCTTTGTTAATATTAATTGTGCTGAGTATCTGCTCACCATTAACCTTTTTAATAAAGACTGAAGTAAAATAGGCATTACACACCTCACACTTGTTGATGTTATCAATTATTAGCTCTCCTTCCCCACTAAGTAGAGGACCTACGCTTTCCTTGGTCTGTCTCTTGCTCCCAAAGTATTTAAAGAAAGCTGGTTAGTATACACTGTTGCAACACCTGGAGGAAGATTAACCACAGGTGCTGGTTGCAGATCAGACCTGCTTGGGAAATCACAGTGAGGTGCAGAGGGACTGCAAGCATAAGCACCGGCTCTTGAGGGAGAGAGATGAAGGTTCCTTCTCAACAGAGGTGACAGCTAGGAGCCTGAAACTTTAAGTAGGTGCCCTTGAGAAAGACTGGAGGCAAGAAGTATGCTAAGTTACAGCTACCATGAAACTGATAGATGGCTCGTTAGCAGAAAAAGGCATAGCATAACAGAGTCCAATGTATGGAAACTGAATTTAGACAAATTCAGATGGGAAATAAGGTTTATATTTTTAAAACAGTAGAGGTAATTAGCTGCCAGAACAATGGGGATGTGGTAGAGTCTCCAGTCACCAGAAATCCTTAAATCCAGATTGGATATCTTTCTAAAAAGATGTGTTATAGCTAAAAAAGAAGTTATGGACTTGAGGCAGAAGTTACTGAGTGAGGTTCTTCAGCTTGTGTAATACAGGATATAAAATTAAATAATCATAAATGGTCCTATCTTGTTTTTTAAAAAGCCTAATATTTTACGTTGGCAGCATTGTCAATTGAATAGGTGATATTTCCTCCAAGTCAGAGCTTATCTAATGCTCATTATAGCATGTTTTAAAAAACTGTAGTTGTAATTTTTAACAGTCTCTCATAATAAAGCCCATAGAAGAGAAAGCTTTAATGGTTCATTCTCTTTAATTTGCCATTGAGACAAGAATCAGCTTTAAATTTTCAAGTGATTTGTAAAATAGATAGTGAATACTATATTAAACATACTTTATTGAAAAGTTAAGATGTTGGAAGTGTCTGACTACATGATGGGTAAAACGACATAAAAGTTTAAAATCTTTTTTAATTTTTTCAAAAACTTATCAAAAATACACTAAGTTAATTTAAGATATGTACATGAAAATCAGATTAATCTGAGCAAAATGACACTTATTTTCAAAATATGCATATTAATAAAAATATAGACAAGATCAGAAATTGAGAGAGAGCAGGGAAACCTATTTTCCTTATAAATTTAGAGTCGTTTTAAATTTCTCTTGCTTTGGGCACTTCCTGGAAGAGCATCCTTTTTATTTCGTCGCTTTGCAGATGCACTTCTGCACTCTTTTGACCCATGGAAAGAGCACAAGCACAAAATACAGAAGTCAAATGCACAGGCTTCTCGGCTACATAGTCCTCTTTTCTTTAAAGGCTGATATTTAGCTGGGTAATGACATCTTGGACAAGGTTTTAAAGCTTCATCAATAAAAAGGGTTTTGGCAATCTGTTTCAAGAGGGGAAAAACGACATTAAATATCTACAGTTGTTGACTGTACAGCTTAAGAAACGTTTATTGTCAGTGCAAATAACTGTCTACATTGCTTACCTTAACATACTCTTCCTGTTTACTAGTTGACTGGGGAACAGAACTGCATATTATAGGCGTTAAAAGTTCATTGCAAGAAGGTGGCGTTTGCAATACAGCAGTTTTAGCTTGAGCTTGAACAGGCCTTAAAGCAGATCTACTTAGAATATTAAGTCGCGTGGCAGCATCTTCAACATGCAAGAGACATCCCTGTTACAGATGATGATCATGAGAAGAGAAATTAGCTTCAAATGAGTACCAAGATAACCTGGGCTATATTTAACATATGTTAAATTTAAAAATAGTTTTAAAGCTTTCACAATAAGATGGTACAAAACATATGGTGTAAATTTCTTCAGGTAAAAGTTTAGTATCTAATAGACAGACAAAATAGGACACAGAGGAAATATATTGTGGTCTATAAAAATCAGTTCAGAATGACCAAATCAAATCTACTTTCCCACTTACAAGACCTCATCTTCTCCCTGCACCTCTGATATCTTTCCTACTTCAGAAATTTGAATGGTAAATGCTTCCAAATGTTTATAGGATAGTCACTTCACGGAACCCTACCCTATAGGCAAATTAAACCACAAATAAAAAACAAATCAAACAATTGGGAAGGAATCACAGTTTTAGTCCTATTGGACCTGCAAACACTGATTAGTATGGAAGAGGGGGAAAGGAGGGGTGGAAACGGGGCATTTGAAAGATTAAGAGGAAGAGATGGAATTTTAAGTCCTGATTTACTTTAAATTGAAGTCTTATTACTTCCAAGCACTAAACGTTTTAAACATTTTCCTTGAAGTGAGAGAGTGTTCACCAACCAGTAGATTGGGATCTATTGGTAGATCTTAGAGTCTCTGACAGGTGATCCTGACTGGTTTGGCCAAGAGGCTATCAAGCACAGTGCTTCAGCTGCCCCTCCCCCTATTGATGTGCATGGCCTGCCCTTTGTCTAGGAGCTGCCCCCACTCTCCAGAGCCTACTCTTTGTTGTACAGGGCAAGGCAGTGGAGAGGAGGGGTGCTGATGTCAGAGTGCTCCCCTCCCACCCTATATTCAATTGCCACAGACTGGAAGGGGGAGGGGGACAACAAGGCTTGGGATGGAGGGAGTTTTCTGGCTGCTCTTGACAGTGGTGCAGGGCCAAGGTAGGGGTGAGCCTGCCTCAGCCCACTGCACCACCACCACTGCACCACCTGTGGTAAGCAGTATCTAGCTGGAGCCTGCATCCTGAACCCTTGCCCCAGTCAAACCTCCTCCTGTACCCTAAGCCTCTGTCCTAGCCCTGAGCCCCCCCAGACCCAAACTCCCTTACAGAACTGGTGCCCTGAACCCCCTCCTACACCCCAGCTCCCTGCCCCAGGCTCAGATTAGAGCAACTCCAAGACCAGAGTCTGCACCCTAATCCTCTGCCCCTGCTTGATGAAAGGGAGGAAGGACGGAGTGAGTAGGGGTGGGGCCTTGGAGAAGGAGCACAAAGGAGGCTGGGCAAGGATTTTTGGGTGTGCAATAGATCCTGGTTTGCACTTAAATTCAAAAAAGTGATCTTGTGCCTAACAAGGTTGGCGATCACTGGGCTAGAGTCAAAAGACTAAAATGACATTTTTACTAAGAATGGTTCTCTGTATGCATTCTGAGCCAAAGCTACTGCGTAAAGATTTTACAACTCTCATTGTCAATTGGGATGTGTCTGCAGTTCACTAGGATGTTTATAGTCTCCTCCTCTAACCCAAATCTTTCTAACATGTCCAATATTTAGAACAATACTGCATTTGTGTGATACGTTACCCCAGCTTCTGCCTTCAGCTGTTTTATGTACAGCTTTCTCCTGAGATACGCATTTTTGTCTTGTATAACAATTTCACGCCAGTTCTTGCTTACTTTCCAAATACTGAATCAAATAAAAAATAAAATATCATCCCCCTTTCAAGTCTTATTTTAGTTTAATGCTAGATTTTAAGATCCTAATACTCAAATTAAACCTTCCAAATTTTATCATAACAAACTGTTACCTTGATTATTTTGCAGAACATTGCAAACTTCACTTTATACACTTGACATTAAACATAATATTGCCTCATATATTCTTCTGAATCACAATGTAGAATTAAATACAGGAGATAGGAAATTTGACTCTCTTACTCAAAATAGAACACAATATAAAACTCATTGATTACTTTGTATGGAGGAGAGGAGGGGAGATTGAGAGCGGAAGGGAAGAGAATTGGCACAGAACTAGGGAGTTGTATCAGAGCTTCTGAGCATGGGAAGGGGAGGGCTGGAGTGGAAGTGGAGGGGACAAACATGGGGGAGAATTACATAGCATAACAGTGTCCAATGTATGGAAGCCTGGAACTGAGCAGAGCTTAACATTTATGAATATTTTCACTAAATTACAAAAGTATGGTAATTAATAAGTATTATTAGATAGAATGTCACTTGTAATTATGTTCTTACATCTCTTTGTTACTTCAAATGTGTCCGTATTAACTTAATATTTTTGGTATATGGGTTACACTGCTCAGCTCCCCAGCGCATTAGCAGGAAAAAAAACCTTATTTTCAAAATTTTGAAAAAGAATATATATATAGTTGTATTTCTTACCTGCATAGACTTTCCACAGTCAAAGCACCTAAAACTATAGCAAGAATATGCTTTAAATCTCTGTATTTTAATTCTGTTAAAATATCTAATTTTTCAAGGCCCATTTTCTTGCCTATAAGTCCAGCAAGAATATATTCTATTACAGACATTTTCTCTCTCTCAGAGTTCTCCAAGGATCCATTTTGTTGTGGTCTTTTTCTTTTGCTTCGCATGAAGATTTCATGGACTATTTGTAAAGCAGGAGTTCTTGATAAGTCCCCAAGATTTAGAACCAAATCTTCACTATTCTCCTCATTAAAAACCAATCCAGTGTCTTCACTGGTAGGGTCTCTTGCTATTTTTGATCTACATTCTGAATTAATTAGTGTAATATCATAGTCTTCCTCTGTCTCTGACTGTGAACCCCGTTCCCGAAGGGTGGATAACCTCCTTGCTCGGTCTAATTTTCTTAACGTTCTTTTAACATCCAGAAGTTCAGAAACTTCCTTCTGTTTTTGAAGAAGTTCTTGGAAAGATCCCTCATGATCTGAAGAGGAATCTTCTGATTTATCCAAGCCAAGAGAATTAAACCCACTGTCTTCAGGCACTGAAAGGTCTGAGTCACTTACCACATGAGTGAGAGGAGCATTTATGTCAAGTAAATCCAAGTTAAAATCTGCTATTAGGTTGCTGACTGGAGTCAGAAATTGATCTTCATTTGTTTCAGACAACATACAACATGCAGGTGTGGTGAGCAGTTCCAGATAGGTGCTTTCATCATTAATACTTGTAAGGGCATTATCATTGAACTCATTAGGAATCTTGTCAAGAATAATGTCTTTAGAAGTATTAGGGTGAATTGGAGATAAACATTCAGGTTCTGACAAGAAGTCATTTCTACATTTGGAATCATCTACTGTAGACGTCCTTTGCTGTGAAAAGGAAAGCCTCAATTTTTGGCAAGCAGGACTAGACTCCTCAGTTTTTAAAGTGCTAGTAGCTAGAGGTTTGTAAGTGTTATCTCTTGGAGAATGTGAAGAACTTTTTGAAAGTCTTTCTTCAAAACTGAGAGCATGAGATAATGTTTTTTTCCTACTGCAACCTGAAGCATTGGCTTGTCTTTCAAAGCATCCTACAGAGCCTCCCAAAGCAGTTTTAGACAGAAGCAGTCTCCTACGCAGTGATGAGTCTTTTTTACTTACTTTAGGAGTTTCAAAAAAATCTGTGCCTATATTTACCTCTTTTCTTTCAGCTAAGGAGATAGAATTCCTTTCATTTTCAATGGGAGACAACACTGGAATTACTAAATTAGGGTGTGTATGTTCGGAATACTCATGTAGTAATGATACACCTCTTGAGCTCAGTTCATCTTTATGTCCTGCATCAGTATGATCAAAACTTGAGTCTTTTAATGATGCATTGTATCCGCTGTCATGAAATATGGAAGTGGAATAAGAGTCTTTAAAGCTGGAATATTTCACATTGTTGCTAGACGTCAATCTGCTTCTTTTAAGAATAGACAACACTGAGCAGCTCTCTGACATCTTTCACTTGGAATTTCTCTGATTCTGTAAAGTAAAGAGTATTTTATCTCTACAAATGATTCATAAAGAACTTATTTTAAATATAATTTGATATGTTGATAATTGTATCTAAGATTATTTATTTATATTGAAGTAACGTTCTTTCAGCATCAAAACAGTAACTAGAGTGAAAAATATTTAACTCAGAGGTGGGCAATAATTTTTGCAGGGGGGCTGTTTCGTACATGGTTATGCCAGCTCTGTCCCCACAGAAGGAGTGGGGCCTCTAGCAGAAGGTGTAGGGCCACAGCTACAGTGTGAAAGAGACACACTTCGGGCACATCTAGACTGCCCACGGCTTCTGAAAGAAGATATGCAAATTCGGTGCAAATTTGCATATCTTCTTCCAATCTCGTTTTTGGAAGAGTTTTTTCGAAAAAAGCAGTCTAGACACGGTTATTAAAAAAAAACCTTTTTTCGAAAGAACCCTGTACACCTAATTTTTTTTAGGAAGAAGGGTTCTTCTAGACTGCTCTTTTTTTAAAAAACACTCTTCCGAAAACGGGATCGGAAAAAGATATGCAAATTTGTGCCGAATTGCCATATCTTCTTTCGAAAGTCACGGCAATCTAGTCGTGCCGTATGTAAGAGACACAAATTTTGCAACACAGATTGAGTGTGTGAGATAATGGACATGTGATAGAGTGTGTGTGTGAGAGAGAGAGAGAGAGAGAGAGAGACACGGACAGTGTGGCACAGACTGGGAGTGTGGGACAGTGATACAGAGAGTGTGTATGCTAGCTGCTGCTGGGTAAGTTTCTAAGAGAAACTACACTCTGTCTCTAAAACAGGGAAAGTTGTCTTGCTTTGTTGTTTTCCCCCTCCCCTGCTCAGTAGAAATGGGATAGGAGGGGAAGTGTATGCGCTTTTGAGAGAGAGCACACAAGCACTGAACTCTTAGAAACATCTTAAGATTTTCTCTGAGTCACTTACCAGCCATGCTTCAGCCTGGAGCAGTTCTTCTGTGTGTCTCCCTCTCCATGACCTCTGCTCTTCAGAGATGGAGTACAAGGGGACACCCTGACTTCAGCATTTCCCTTTCCCCTCAGTGCCACCCCATCCCTGTTCTGCACAGCTAGCAGGAGAAGCTTGGGGGTAGCTCAGCTGCAGGATGCAGAATGGTGGAGAGGGGCAGTGAAACATTCCTTGCCAAATGTAAGTATGAACCTCTGCTAAACAACTGGTCATGCCAGTGAAAAAATGCTTGACCCCTGGGCCTGATTTTGCCCACCTCTGTTTTAACTGCATCTCTGTGGAAATAGCATTCACACATGAGCATGATGGATGCACTATATATATTTAAAAAGATAAATTGTTGGTAAATACTTTATTGATGTAAAACAACAGGGATGAATAGCTTAAAAACATGCCATAAGAGAAATTAAGTGAAAAAACATATCTGATTAGCTAGCTCATATACCAACCATCATCATCCATGGAGATAGGTTCTGTCTGATCACAGACACAGTTGGCAAAATTTTGGCCCCATTGAGGTAAATAGCAAAACTCCCATTGACTTCAACAGTATCAGGATTTCACCCTCCATGTACCATTTCAGTTCTTGAGAGACAACAAGGGATTAAAACTCACGAATTAGTCTATTTTATTAGTGCTGATGGAAAGATGGGAGAAAAGAAAAATTGCCACAAAGGCTTTGGTTTGTTTAAAGAAAGGAGGGAGCCCTAGTGGCTGATAATCCTTACTAATCAGCTAGACTCTAGAGACTCAGCATTCCACCTTCCTGCCTGCTCTTCTGTCACAGAGTGGGGAAAGCCCCCTCAACCTGACCCCACTCACCACCAGGAGCACAGGGTGGGATAAGACACCACTAAAGGCAGAAGGTAAGGGGAGTGGCTCTGGGCTCCACAAAGTACTAATCTGCCTCTGCATAGAACTGAAAGGACTTAACCAAGGTCACATAGCAGGTCAGTTGCCAAGAACAAAATACATATCTTCTGATGCCCACTCTACCTCCTTTATATATCATGGTTTATTAATTTAATTATACTCATACAGTGGTTTTCAAAAGTGGTCTATGGACCAGCAGTGAGCGTTTTCTGACAGTCTACAACATATTTTGAGAACCAAGCTATGGAAGGATTAGGATGTCTAGAGAAAGGGTTTCATGAGACGATCCCTCTTATGGAGTGGCCCAAGGATGCATTGATTACTGGAAAACAAAAGAGCTAGTGACTAAAACCTATCAGTCCCAGGAGTGGGTCCTGAACTGACTCTGCCACAAGCCTCTCTTTTAAATTAGTTACTATAAAAGGTGTCCATTACCTGCATCACCAAACTTATTTCTGTCCCCTTTTCCTCAGTGCCCTGCTTTTTTAAAGCAAAAGGATGGAGGTGACTTCTTGGTACTGAGATGAATAGCCTTCTCCAGTATTTAAATCAAGTCTAATCTCTGAAGCAAACAAACTTTACCTAAAGATTCTCCTACATTCATCAAGCTGTGCAAGTATCCCAGTGTAACTGACCCAAAATGAGTCATTGCAACTCAACAACGTTTATTATTATCTATCAAGGAAGTTGTACCAAAACACTCTCCCCTCAATAGGAATGTTACTTACCCACCTGTGTGAAGCACTTTAAGACCCTCAGATGTGAACAGCAGTGTTACTCTGGAAGACAGTGTTCCAGAAAAGGGTAAAGGCAGGAGCAAAAGTAAATCAATGCATTCCTGGGAATTAGGCAGTTCAGAGGCAAAATCCGTTCCAGTCACAAAATAATTGATGCAGCTAGTCTATGTATTTACTAGCCGTGACCTCCGCAGTTAGTGCCTATCACAATAGTAATGGAGCTAATTGACTAGACCAACCACCTAAGGAATAACACCTGTAGGGCTCCCAGTCACCTTGAATGATGGACACCAGGAAGGCAGGAGCTTCACCCCCGCACTCCTTGAGGCAATTCGGGGGGCAAAGGGAAAGCTCTATCCCCTCCCCCCCTTGACAATGGAGCTTCTTCAGGGAGTCAGTGGGGCTAAGTGATGGGGGGTGCAGTTAACAACATCCCGCAGGCAGTGCTGGGAACAGTCAGGGCCACCGCTCCCGCTGCTCTCTGCCTCTTGCCGCGGCAATGTCGAGCCTCCCTAGCCCCCAGCCCTAGCGCGTTGCCCTGGTGAGGAGCCGCCGCCTCAAGCCAGCACCAGGTCTCTGCGTGCGGCTGCTCTTGGTTTCCCTCGCTTGGATTTGAACTGCCCGCCCTTATCAACTGCTGTCTGTTGCTTTTTCTCTTCCCCCGGAGCGCTGCGTCCGGGCACCTGGGGCCAGAGCGAAGCAGGGCTCACGAACGAAACCAGTTAAACTGGGGGAAGAGAGGGAAGCTACAGCTGTAACCCGCTCCCCCAAGCTGTCAGCTCCTAACATCCTTTTTCTGATTCGGGAGCCTGGTAGTGTAATTGCACTAGCGCCCTTGTGTTCTTATGATTTGGCGGGCGCGACTGCATTCTCCCCCTTCAAAGTCTGTCTGATCACATTCTAGGGAACGTTTTGGTCTAATGTGCCTTCTTTGACTCCTATGACCTAAGCTTGCTATAAACTTCAATGCACATAGGTAGCATGATTGATCATAATACAAAATGTTATCGTAGTGCATATGTATAAACCAAGAGTTGAAAGCACTGCTGGCAAAGCCTTACCTTGGCTTTCTCTACTTTTCTAGTTTTGTGCTTGGGTTAAAAAACATAGTTATGTGCACTTAACAGGGGAAACTTGGTCAAATTCTCGGTTCGTCACCTGAAGCAGCTTGTTATAATAGCATAAAATAAACCGGGGCCCGGCTGTGGACCCCGTAAGTGACCGGCTGATGGTGGGGCTCTGAATGCTGCTGGCCGCTGTTCACAGGTAAGGTCCGGCGTTGCTATGGAAAGCTGGCCTGCCCATGTTATGCTGCTCGCTCTCTCCCCCACAGGAGCTCAAATCACCCTGTGGCACTTTGCCATAGTGCCAGACGGCTGGGGTCGAGGCCCCAGGTCTGGTGGGTCCGAGCCAGCACCCCAGGCTCCACTCCTGTAGCTCGGGAGGCCTAGCAGCGAGGTTACAGTGTGCCCCATCCAGTCCGCGGCATGGCCGCACCTCCAGCCAGAGCATCTCCTGCACCTCTGCCCTGATTGACCGCCCTTCCCCCCCAATTCCCAGCAACGGCACGTACCTACCCATCAGGAAATTAACATTGTAACAACCATGATGTTCTTTTTATTTGCGGTCTGAATCTTTAAGGGATACTTCCCTTGCTTCCTATTTTCAAACTTTTCTCCACAATTATGAAAGCTAAAAACCTATTTGCCGAGGTCAATTAATAAAAAACCCTGAGAGTCCCATCCAAACTCTTGACTTCAACACCTGACACCTAGAGGAAATCATCAACTCTCTCATGATTGTATCAATAATCTTGTAAATTGGCAACACCTCCTGGTATTCTGCGCTGATCCTTTGGCTTCTTGAAGGAGCTAGGCGGGCAGTCAGTAAAGCTAGGCGGAGGGGGCTGACACAGACAGAGTTTCAGGGCCAGGCCGGTCACAGCCCGAGGAGCTGGAAGCATTCAGAGGAGGACAGAGAGAGCCCCAGCACGAGGGATCTGCAGCTAGAATGACAGTCACAGCCCCGTGCCAGCTGGAGCAATAGCTCCTCCCTCAGGACCAGTCCGCGCTCCATTCCTCCTCTCGCGTCAGGGCGCCTGGGGTGGAGTTGGCCCCTCATTGCTGCGCCTGCGCGTTTCGGGAAGACGCGGCGTAGAGACGCGATTCGGCCTAGGGCTTCGGGAGCGATTTGTGTCTGGGGCGAGCGGCGCGGCGAGCGGGGTCCCGCTCCGGGGAGGTACGGAGCGGTTTGGGCATCGCTTTCTCCCCCGCCCCCCAGCTCCCTGATTCCTCCGCCGCGAAGACGGGTCCCTGCCGAGTCCCCCTATCCTTGGCCGTACTGCTCTCGAGTAGCCGCCGAGACCTCTCCCCGTCTTCCCCAGCAGCCAGGGGTGGCCTGACCCCCCTCCGAGCGAGCGAGGCTACGGGTCTGTGCCGCGCTCCTTCCGCCCGGGGAGGCTGCGGAGCAGAGCCCCTGGCCCTGGGGCACGCGCTGCTCGCTGGCCTGCCAGGTTCCGAGCACGTGGTGAAGCAGCCGGGGCCGCTCAGCTGTGCACGGGGAGGGTGCTCCGCAGCGGGCGTGTTGGAAAGTGGTGCAGCATCCCTCTAGCTAGGGATGCAAAATCCAAGCCTGTCAGTTAGCCGGTTAAATGTTAGGTTGATCGATCATTGAACTCTTTAAGCAGGATCAGGGCTGGGGGCCACTTGCCTGCAGGGCTTCTGCCCCCCAGTCCCTGCGGGAACAACCCCTGTAGGAGGCGGGCCTAGGCTCCCTGTGGACAGCTGAAGCAGCCCTGCCTGTGGGGCTCCCAGGCTTCCTAGGGACGTAATAGCTGTTCTGGTTGCAGGAGCCGTCCCTGTCTGCTGTGGGTCCCTGTGGGGCTGGCGCAGTGACAGGGGGGAGATGCTCCAGCCCCCACCAGTTAACTGGAACTAGTAAGTGTTACCCATTTAAGGTGATGCTTACTGGTTAACCAGATAACTGAATAACCTTTCACATCTTTACCTCTGGGCCTGTGAAAATACAAGCCATCCAATTGTAGGCACATAGGATGCACAGAAGTCAAGCCAGTTTGTAGTACTTTTAGCAGTGTTTCCATCCATACTGAAAGTATCTTCTTATCACAGTTGTGCCACTGTAATGTGTGTCTGACCATATCACTTTGCCTAACTGCATTCATATCAGTGTATTTTGAGCAATTATTCATGTGGGTGGTTTGCCTACCAAACATGCATTGTTAAGACACTTCATTAATGGTTACAGGCTCAGACTTTAAACATGGTTTGTATCCACACAATCATCTTATTACATATTTTAGAAATGTGCGTCTGTTTGTTCAAGAACTCCTAAATGGTAAGAGAGAGAGAGAACCACCAAATTTGGTATGCAGCTTCCTCTTATAACTTAAAGCAAGGTCAGGGTTTAGTTGCGCCAGGATAATGGATTTGCCTGGAATGTGATTGTTCCCTTTCCATTTTATGAGAAACAGTCTGGTAGGAGGGAGTGAAATGGCAGAATAACTGGGGCGGGAAGGGCAGGCACGAGCAGGTATGCAGCAGACATTGCATCTCTGGCTGGGGAGTTTAAACGGCGCTTTCAGGACTTTGCAGCTATTGAAAAGGAGATCAGCCTTTTCTCCTCTCCATTCTCTGTTGACCCCGATGATGCTCCAGATCAGCTGCAGCTCGAGCTCATTGAGCTGCATTGTGACAGCGAGTTACGCAGTCGTCACCAACAGCTCTCTCTTGTGAACTTTTACCGCCAACTGGATAAGAGCCGGTTTCAAGAGATTCGAACATTGGCTAAGAAAATGCTGAGCTTGTTTGGCTCAACATATATGTGTGAGAAGACATTCTCTGCTATGAACTTTAACAAGAACCGCGTGAGGACAAGACTAAGTGACTCTCACCTGCGTGACATTTTGCGCATCAAAACCACTGCCTTTGAACCAGACCTAGCCTATGTACTGCAGTCCAGATCTCAGTTTCACCCTTCACATTAGTTTAGGCAAGTTTTTTTTTCAATTGAGATGAATACATTGTAAAATCTCAGTTAATGTCAGTTGGTCTAAATCAGTTATAAATATATTTGGACACAACATGTATAGTTGGTGTTATGTCGTTTGCCGTTTGCAATAAACTTTGCATAAAATAGTTAATTTGCATTTAATTTTAATGGTTCAAAGAATGTCAGGCAAAATGGTCGGCCCTCACGCATGTTCACTTCATCAAATCTGGCCCTCTTTGAAAAAAGTTTGGACACCCCTGTTTTAGACAGTTTGTCTCTTTCCCCCAACCCAGGGACATGCACCCCTCCCCTGGCTGTGCCTGTTTGGGCTGCAGTGGCTGTGGATATGCTCTTCTTACCTGACCCAGAGAGGATTGGGTTTGTCCTCTCTTCCTGGGTCAGCCTGCATACTGAATCCCTTATCCCTTGCCCCACCCCAGAGCAATGATTTAAGTGAAGAAAAACAAAATGTATGTGAGTTAAGGACCTGAGCAGTTCCAGGTAAATCTTTTAGTGTGGTTAATGTTTGGTTAAACTATTGCAGCTCTTGCTAGTGGATTCATTTGTCTACCAATATCAAGTATATTATTTTGCTGGGATCTCCTGTGTAATTGAGTTAGCTGTCCTCTTTTCAGATCTTTGTACAGTAGGATAGATCAGGTCGGTAAAAGGGCCTCCGTGGGCTGGATCCAGCACGCTAAGCAGGTTGATCTGGCCCACGGAGCCCCTGCTACTCTCCTTTTTGGGTTGGAGGCTATTGACTGACGGAAGAATCAGTTGGCAGCTGCGCACAAGTGAGAAACAAAACCAAAAAAGCCCTCACTCACCTGGTTTCCAAGTCAGGAGAGGGGGGGGAAAAAACCCTCTTATATACAACCTTCAAACTGAGAAGTGGAGGGAGGGGTAAGATACTTCCCTGGCACTCCAACCCCATGGGGGGGAGTGAAGAGGGTGCCAAGGCTCAGGCACCAGAGGAAGATTAACTTTTCTGGGGATAGTAGATCTTGTCCCCTCCCGGGTTCTGGGATGGGACCATAAGTGAGGGGTTCATTGTGTAGGAAGTGATTGCTGGGGAGTTGGCTGCGGTTAAGGATGCAGCGTCTAGGCAGGAGGTAGGGTGCAGGAGCCAAGATGAGGGTGTGGTGTCTAGGTGAGAGGTAAAGTACAGGAGTCAGAATAAAGGTGAGGTGACTGGGTAGGAGGGAGGGTGCAGGAGCAGATGGGGGATAGGCGTGTGAGGTCTGGGCAGGAGCTTGGGGTGCCTACCTGGCATAGCTCTCAGGGGCACAGGTGGCTCTATGCCACCCTTCCCCTGAAAGCACTGCTGCCACTCCGCTTGCCGCTCCTATTGGCCGTGATTCCCAACCAGTGGGAGTGATGGGGGCGAAGCCTGCAAGTGAGCACAGTGACAGAACTTCCCTCTGTTGCCATTCCCCCAGCCAGTGGGGATGTGGAATGGCATCACATACAGCTGCTTCCTCCCTCCCCCCCTCCCCCGGAAGGCAGAGCCTGAAGACCGGATGAGGTCTGCAGCTTGTCTCGATCCAGCCACAAGGCTCAGTAGTACTCCTTGCTGCAGCAGAGAGCCAGCACTGACACTGCAGCCACACTAGCAAGGGTCGCTGAGGTTCAGAGACTTTCTGTGGGGCTTCCCCTGCTGTGGTGGGGGGATGGAGTGCCCCGAGTCTCATAGACTGGATTAAGGCTAGCCTCTCCCTTGATCCCTGATGTTGCATAGTGGTAACCATTGTAATCAGGTCAGATCAGAATGTATGACCCCCCCGGGGCACAGGAGTAATATTTTAAACGGTTGTGACGTACTCCATCTGTCCAGGTAACTGCAAGCAAAGTTTTAGTGGTTTCCACCATGCCACTTTTTTGTCATGGCTGAGGCATATTTATATGTGCGTTCTGGGAAGATTAGAAAAACAATTCCTTAGTGCTTCAGTAGGGGCCAGAGTACCTGCAGGATATGTATACAGACCATGGCAGTCGGTACATAAAGCCGTGCAATCTGGGTTGTCCTATTTTTTAGGACAGTGTTTCTCAATGACTAGTCTTTGGATGGGGATTGGTCACTGAGACCTCCTTGACACAGTTTAGGAAGACAGCAACCAGTCTCTAGCATCAAAAAGTTTGAGTAACACTGGTAGAGGAGAACCAGCTATACTGGTTATGCAGCCATAATCCCCTGCCAAAGAGCCCTTAATGACTTGAACTAGCTACAAGCAAATAAGTTCCTGCTAACTGAAGTCTCTCATGGGAAGCACTATTTGCTACCAGTTATTATACAAGTAGTAATCATGGTTATAGATACAACTGTTTAGAGCCAATAATTCTACAAATGTTAAAAACCTGTGGAGTAGATGTGGTATAGATCCTCTATTCAAAAATATCTTTTTCTGACATCATAGGGATAGACTTAGTCCTAAAATAAGGTTTAAACTAACTGATTAAATATTATTAGATTTTAATGATTATTTAAAAAGTCCTATTAATTATTTCAGTGTTGATTGGTTTAGTAGTCAGTTCTAGTTACGCTGGAATTATAAGGGAAAGTACTACTACTATTCTGCCCTCATTCTGACCCCAAGATTTCTGTCCAGTTTATCCATCAGAAATAGTGCAGGATTAAGCAGTGGTTTAAGTGTGATTGGCTTTATCCAATATATGCAAGTAGTGATGTTGTCCATTCCCAAAATAAATTACTGATAGGTAGTTGATCATATCTTTTTTTGTAGCTACAGCAAAATCTTTCATTAGTGGGAGAGACTACTGCTCTCCAAGCTTTATCCAAAGACAGATAATCTAACACATTGAAGGAAGATGAGGTTGGTGTTAAATTTGTTTCCAGAGGTTTTTCTGTCCTAATTCTTCATTATCCAACAGCATGGTTTGTCTTTTTTAATTGATAGAACATGGATTCCCAAAAGGATGTTCAGCCTCCAAAGCAGCAGCCAATGATTTACATTTGTGGAGGTAAGAATAATATCAAATGTTTAATTATGTTTACTCCTCTCCAGCTTGGTCCTACTAACTTTTGTATAACATTCATGAAAGTCTTTGCTTTAGAGGCTGTTTTCTGGAAGTGGGTGTATGGTTAGAAATGACACTAAGGTATGTTGGCTTTGGTTCATAATGTACAGTTTCACCACCAAATTTGTCAATGGGAGTAAGTGTGATTCTGTTGTCAAGATGGAGAAAAGTAGATACTACTGACTTTGGTCTCAGCTGCCAAATTTGAAAGTACTCCTCCATGATCTTACAGTCTGATGCGTCATGTCAGGTTCTTTAAAACTATGGGGCTGAGTTGCAAGTGCACTGCTCTAGTGCTATTGAACAGTGGCCTTGGCCCTAATATACCTATTTGATGAATATTGTGCATCCATATCATGGACAAAAAGCTGCCATGCCAAATTTGCAGAAAGGCAGCTGAATCAGACCATGTGAAACATCCCGGGCTCTTTAAAATCAATATATCTACCGTAGCTTTCTGAGTTAGCTGGAGATTTGATGTTTGCTATCCGTTGAGGTGTAGCTGCAACATGAACATAAATCTGCCGAAAACTACTCAGAACTTCACATTTGACAGGCTATGGACAACGTCCCCCAACGACGTCTGAAATTGTGAAAACTATTGTGGACTACCCATGACCACCTCATATCTCTGGATCTCGCCAGGGTCTTTAGCTACCATTCCAGTCAACACATCATTCACTCAGTTAGCTGCCATCCCAGTTTCAACCTGCGATGCAGACTATGGACCACACTGAATCTCATCTGAACAAAAATAAATCATCCCTGTTTGTCACTGTAGTGAGAACATGCAAATCATTGAACACATTGTAATCCAGTGCCCCAAATATAGATTCAAAGGTGAATTTGACATCCACATTATCATAGAGGCCTTGAAATGGGTTAATTACCTACAACTGTATTTACAGAATGTTGCTATGTAGCTGTGCTGTGTACAAGAGAGAAATAATATCTGTTGAACCTAATCTTGTTAGTAGTAAATTGTGGTATTTTCTAAGGGTAGCATGCCATTAACTGTAAATGGTGCAGAATAATTATACTAAGGCTACGTCTACGCAACAGTGTGACTTGATCCACTTGCTGTTGATTTAGTGGGTTTAGCAAAGACTTGCCAAATCAACTGTACATTGCTTTGCAGTCAATCCCTACACTCTACCCCAGACACGAAGAGTAAGGTAAGTTGATGGGAGAGTTTTTGTTGTTGATCCCCTGCAGTGTAGACCCCGTGGTGACTCGACCTAAAGTATGTTAACTTCAGCTACGTTATGCATGTAGCTGGAGTTGTGTATCTTAGGTCAACTTTCTGCAGTAGTATAGACATAAGCTAATATGATGGATCTTTGCTTCATGGAGTGAAGGTAATTGGAAATAGCTCTTTAGAAATTCTGTCACACAGGTCACATGTTGCAGTTCATGTGGTGCATTGTCTGTAGAGTATATTTGCACAGTATGCCCCTATGTTAGATGTGTAAATATGAATAAAATTGCCATCATATCTCAGAAAAAGCTGGTGTGGTCACTTTTTATTATTAGCTAAAATTGTTATTGGTAGCGTTGAAATGCAATCATTTTTAATCCCTCTACAGTACTGTTACATTTTTGACTCTGATCCTTCTGGGGACATTTTTTGAAATACAGTGTCTTCCATTTGGAGTAATCAAAAGGCAAAATAATTTTGTCCTACAGAAGTATCTTTGATACAAGGAGAAGCCATTCCTTCAAATGATGTACTCCACGAAACAGTCTTTCTTAATGCCTCCAACCTTTTAGTGTGAGGAATGGCTGTTTTCAACAAGGGTCTGTGGTTGACAGTCACTGGTTAGTAATATGGATTGCAATACATCAATTTTGGATTGCAATACATTAATACCTCTCAACTGCTAACATATTACGGAAAATTATTTATGAGCACATTTTTGTAATATGTCAATAGTATAGTTTGACTACCACATTTTGTCATCAGTAAAGATAATAGAACATTAAATTGCAAATTTACAGGTGAATTGTTTACCAGTAAGAGAAATCAAGAACTTAATATTACTCCTAAAGTAAATTCAATAACATTGTGGTGTTTGCCACAAATGCAGGTTTTGAATTGTTACTTTACTTTTGGAGAAGGTATAACATCTTGAATCTTGTATTTCTTGTTACAGTGGACTAATAATATTGGTTTTTGTCTTGTAGAATGTCACACAGAAAATGAAATAAAAGCAAGAGATCCTATAAGGTGTCGAGAATGTGGGTACAGAATAATGTACAAAAAAAGAACAAAAAGATGTATCCTTTTGCATTTACCTCTTCGGTTGTTTGAGTGGGTAGGGGAAGATGGTGGCTATAAATAAAATGAGAAATTGGGGTAGTACTGAAGAACTGGTCCAGTGCTGAAAAAGTCTTACTAGTACATATGAGGAAGTATCTTAATTAACAGGGTCACCACTGAAAATAATTGAAAACACAAACTTGGTAGTCACGTATTACAGTGCAAACAGGTAAAAAGTACGTGGCTAGAAGATACTATTGTGCATGCAATGCATATTCATTTTTAAAAACATACAAACAAATGCTAATTGTGGTGGTAACTGAGCCTCAACACATTTTTACATGACTGACTTGTGATTGCATTTTAAATTTTTTTTCCCCATTCCATTTTCTTTAACTCTGAACTATTAGTGGTTGTATTTGATGCTCGGTAACGTGGACTCAAGATGTAGCTGTTATGACCTGGTTCATCTCAGTATTTTGATAACTTCGGTTTGCATACATATCTGTTGTGTACAAATACATACATTTTCATTCTGATCAGTTGTAAATTATTCAAGTAGTTAAATAAAGATTTTAATATCGAATATTCAGCTTCACTTTTGAATTTAGTCAAGTTATGTTTGCTTACACCAGAGCCCAGCTTGGCTCCATATCTCCATGTTCCTTGATTTTTCTTTTCACATCCTAGAACATCACTACTGCACCAATTCTGTAGAGACTTAACATGTTTAACTTTATGTACTGAGTAGTAGTCCCGTCAAGTACGCTCTGGAATTTCTGTAGAAAGTTAAGCATACATAAATGTAGTTTATAAGGTAAGTAACACTAACTCCTTGAGCTTTTTACAAGGCTTCACAAGAAATACTTTATACACTTATGTGACCTGACTGCAAAGAGAGAGGTGTCTACCTGTGACCTGAGGTGTAGATTCCCATGGAAAGGGAAGCATTTACAACAGCTAGTATTATAAGGAGAGAGCACCTGGAGGCAGGTTGTAGGAATTGGGGAATTGCATTCTAAAGCAATTACCTGCCCCATTCATTGTACAAAGAGCCAAAGCAACTCATTCAGCCTGCATGAATTCTAGTGTTCCTATGATTTTTAGGCATCTAAAGTTTGGTATTAGGTATTGTGACACTGAGCATCATACGTCCCTGGCTTTGAGCCAATGTTTTTAACTGTTAATTTTCTTGCTTTTAAAAAAGTCCAAAATGTGTAAATGATACATTTTCAGTAATCAACTTTCAGTGGCTAATGAAGGGAAACAATATAGGAGCTCCTTAGTAGCTTCTCCACTGTATTTTGTTTCCCACTTTTTTGTTTCGCTAACTAAACATTCTGGAAATATACTGTCCTATTAAAAATTGAGCACCTTGCTACATTGAGGAAGGATTGCTGCTGAAGATAATGATGGCTCAGTTTCTTTCAAAATACTCTTGCCAAAATACATTCCATTGTGTAGGATAGGCTAATACAATAACAGCTGCTGAGGGGGTAGTGTTTTTTTTCCCTCTTAAGTAGTAGGCTTTTCCCAGACTTTAGGAAATCCTGCAATAGGATGCTATTGCACCATAATGTTTGCAAGATCAGCCTGACCTCTTCCTCTCAGGTTCACCAGGCCATAAGTTCCCTCACTATCCTCCCATGGAGAGAGGACAAGGTGCCCTGCTCAGCTCTGCCTCCCGGGCAGGCTCCCGCTACCCCATCTAAAGCATCAGAAGGGTAGCAGTGTGAGTCTGAATCTGCTTAAACGAGAAGTCCTGTGGCACCTTATGGACTAACAGATGTATTGGAGCATAAGCTTTCCTGGGCAAAGACCCACTTCGTCAGATGCCTGTAGTGGAAATTCCAGAGGCGAGTATCTTTGCCCACGGAAGATTTTGCTCCAATAACTTAGTCTAGGAGGTGCCCCAGGACTTCTCGTTGTTTACCCATCTCAAGCAGGCACGCCTCGCGCAGCGTGTCCCGGGCAACTTGCCGCCACTAACAGCT